AAGGTGGGAACGCTTTGCTTCCAAGTCTTTGGAGCTCTCGATCGATCAGCCTATCTTTGTCTTAGTGTTCCCCATAACAACTGGGTTTCATCCCAACAAAATGGATCCGATTTTGTCTTCGATTTGGCTTCGGCCTGCTCGTCGCTTTCTTCGCCGAGGCGTGATCGTGCCTCCATTCCAAGTCCTTTCTGGTACCAAGAGCAGCAGTTGTCGGACAACGTGCTCACAGTTCCTTGGAGACGTGGGTCGGGCGTGATGGGCCGGAGACGTGTGCAAGAATCCAAGCAAACTAGGGAAATGATTGGACATGAACAGGATTGAACAGTCAACACCTTGAAGCAAGCAATATTCAAATATGGATTACCCTGCTTCAAACAGATGAGGTGTTTGTGAGAAGCACATTTTTTAGATTGCTCCTGCCTGTAAGTGATCTAAATGCAGTTGCTGTTCAGAAAGCCTGTTTGTGTTGGCACGGGCGAAGATACTTTCTCTTCCGAAACAGATTTTCACAAAACAAATCAGCACCCACCCCATTCACCAAACCAAAGTTTTATTCCTCGCTGGAGTGTTCCTTTGCAAGTCGTCGTGAAGAGCCTTTACGCTTGGGCCTTTCTGCTCAGAACTTGCTAAGGAGAAGATCGTTTCTGTTAGGAGCCCAGATGCCTCAGTCCGATGTTCTAGTTGAGATGCTAATTATGCTAATTCAAAATGAGCTGAAGAAGTTGAAGTCGTCACAGAATAATACTTTACCAGATGTTCAAGATGTTCAAGCCTTAAAGTGAGTTCAGATTAAGATGCTTTCAGAAGATGACCTGTCCACTTCTTGGCGGACGCCAAGGATTTGAACGCCCAGCCACACCTGAAAACCAACGACCGCAGGGGAAGGGGAGTGCGCGCCATGAACTGTGAAAGATGCCTACTGTATATTACTGTATCGTTTGCCTGTTTCGGACCACCTTCATCGATTGTTGAGCTTCTCTGCAATTAAACCCCTCTACTGTCTCCCTGGTTGCTTCAAAGGCAGCAAGAGGGTCAATGGGCTGATAGGTTGACAAGCGGGTTTCGGTGAGAAACTGCCTCACAGTCCCCTTGGTGCAGCTGGTCAAGGAATGCAGATTATGCACAGACTGTACAGCGGTCTGTGGCCTGCTGGGTGAGTTCGGGTCTTCGAAACTTCTTTTCGTCACGCCGGGGGTTCGCCTGCGTCTTCCCAGCAGGACCGCCCGGAGGAGATGCCGCTGAATCCTTCCAGTCGCTGCTGTGCCCTTTGGATGAAGCCCCTGAAACGTTCGAAGGGCAAGGCGTGGGAGGTCAGCCATGGCATGGATGTGGCAAGAAATTGATCTCTTGCCATCTCTTGCCCATCATGTTCTAGAGTTTTAGACTGACAAGACCCAAACAGTTTTTTTGAAGAAATGGGACTGACTCGGACTGAGATCCCATTGTGGAGATTCGAGTCGAGTAGAGTGTAGACTGTTGATCAATTGACAAAACACAATTTAGATTGTAAAACCTGTTCCTTTTGGGGGTCTTTTATTAGACAAACCTTCTACATTCCGGCTGTCTTGTGGGCCATCGGTCTGTTGTTTTGGTTTTCGCGACTCAGCCTACCTTGAGACCGTGTCTTATAGGCTGAAGACAAGCCACGGATGGATTTACTGGTGTACCACGGTTGACTCGGCATTCGGCAAGAGATCTGGGGCCTATCGGACGGGTCAAGTCGAAATTTGGCCACATGATGTTTACGAGAAAGGAAGAAAGGACCCAAGTTGGGCAGTCGGGTGGGTCTTACAGGGAAAGCTTTCGCCAGACATGCCGAGCATGCCAGTCGTGTGGCGACCGAGTCCCGTTTCGTCCACATGGGTTGCGTGCACCTGCGACTCAAGTGGAATACAGTCGTATGTTCTTGCGGCCTTCTGAACAGAGTACCTAGGCGATGACCGTGATGATTCAGCCTTTCGTCTTGAGCAATACAGCAGGGGGTGGAGTCTGAGGGAAGGGCTGGGCACCTGAAGAGGGAAATGGACGGGCATGTTTGGAGGATGGAAGTGACAGGACTGGAACTTTGGTGGATTTGCAAGTTTTTGTTGGGCGATGGATGCAGATAGTCTGCAAAGAGAAAAAATCAGTCTTTCTGTTTTCTGAAGGCACTTCCTGCTGCAACAGATGACCAATTCTTTTGATGCGACTGAGGTCTATGGTGAACGTGCTTTGGTCGGCAGGGAGATGAAGTGGCAGTCGCTTGAGCTGGGCACCAGCACTGGCCCGAAAGGGTCGCCTGGGATGCTTCTCTTGCGCCACCACACCACTTGGTCGCGCAAGTGATTGACAGACTCGGCACCGTGTGGGTGGTGTGGGCACCGTGTGCTGACATGGTTGACCCTTGGTGGAAATTGGATTGAACAGTTCTCAAACAGTTCGACTGGGTTGGTTTGGAGATTGGACGAGCGCCCTGGAGCTCCCGCGTTTCACGGGCTCTTTGTTCTGCGGTTTGGGGCCGAGGCCTTGCGATCCCTCCAGAAGGATTGCCCGAAGCCCAGTTTGGAGCAGATGTGCTCCGGCTCAGTAGCACTGGAAGCATTTTTGTTTCCCTCCTCCCCAACTCCTCTCAGTCAGGGGCCACGTGATGTAGTTTTGCCGGCCTTGTTATGTAGTCCTGCGGCCAAGGCGTCAGTCAGAAGTTGATGGACGGATGAGGAAGATTGAACGGACAGGGCGGTAGAGACTGCGAACATTCTTGTAGAATTTAATCAAAAAGTATGTGGATGGTTGGGCGCAGGGGTCTGATAAAATACATTCACATGTATCAAAAACAACAAGGAGATCGAAGATCTCCCCTGTTGACCTCCAGCTCCCTTCTGAAGCAGAAAGCTGGTTGCTTGTGAACAGGATATGCTGTGGACGCTGACATCATTGTAGCTGCTGTAGCTTTAAAGGATTGTAAAAGATCTCGATCATTGTGGTTCAGCGCACGGTCTTGGAGGTACTACACTGTTACTACACATCATTTATCAAACTCCTGGTACTTGTACAGTGCAATAAGAGTCCCTCAAAGGCAGACCTGACCAAGCTCAAGACAACTTGGCTGGTTGCTCTTCAGTCAGTCTAATGTTGGTCAAGAACAACCTGCGGATACAACTTACTGAACAACGGATGGGAAGTAGAGACCTTTCAATGTTTCAACCTGGCAGATCGACCCGATGTGTTTTCGGGGCGGCATATCCCTGCAGCTGACCACTTTCATAAGGAAGACTTGGGAAGAAGGGTTGCCATACTTGCGTGGGCAGAACGGCTTTCTGCCCTCGCATGTTATAATGGCATATTGTCAGATTTCCAGGGGCAGAGATGGCAACGCGTGCCTCCGTGGGGACTTACCTGATGCCACCTGATGCTTTCGAAATGCCAGAAATTGGCTGAAGCAGATCTTAAGAACATGGAGCCATCGAAGGTAATTGTACTCATTTCATTACAGTGGCTAGCTGGTAGTTAGGAGGGGCCGAGAAGGGTCTTCCATGTTTGGGGTGAGTCAAACAGCTACAGGGAGTTCTCGAATCACTTGCTAATCACGAACAAACAGCTAGGATGTGTGGTTGGAGATGTGATTGAAAGGATCCGATCTGATCGTCTGTAAGTTCCTCACACCCGCGTTGTACTGGAGCTTTGTCGCAGGATTTTTCATCTTTGCATCTCAAAGTCTAGATGTGATTTTAATACTTTGTTGGATTATTTTATCATTTTAGCTAGAGGCAGGTCTCAGGTGTCAGTATAAGCAATCGCTTGCTTTGATCTAGGAAGACATAGTATGAAAGATGCAGAGACACTCTCAGGCGTGGGCTTACGGTCGGCGAGGCCGTTGTGGTGGACGGTCTTTCTTGTCAAAGAAAGGGGCCCGCAGATCTCATTTGTAGGCAAATGTCCGCCTTTCAGGGTATTGACCAGACTTTTTTGCAGTAAGTTTATATTTATCATTGCCAAACACCAGGGTTTAGGCCCCGTTTAGGACCAACTGCCGTTGTTGGTTGAATCTATGTTCCTTTGTGGGCATGATCGAGTGGAGAGAAAGAAGCCGAGCAGTGCAGAGGTAGCATCATCCGTTGCAATTGAAGCACTGTTACTACCCGCGCCACTTTTCACGACCTTCATGGTGACTGCCAAACGCATTCTTTTTCTTTTTTTCAGCCTTCAAGATGCTTTCACTGTTGTAAAACAGACAAGCCCTCAAGCCGCTCGAAATGTGCAGAGTTGCCAAACATAGACAATATAGTTCAATAGAACATGAGCGGGTATTCCCTTGTCAGTGCCCTGGAGTCATTCGGAGTGCCCAGTGCAAAGCCACGTCGCTGGATAAAGGCTTCGCATTAAAGAAGGACTGATCCAACTGCACTGGTGAGACATTAGCCCGTTTAAGTGGAGCCTTTGTCCAGCAGTAAGGCACACAATGAGAAGAATCAAAAGCAGAGCACCCCTCAAAAGCTTTGGCATGAAGTATCTACAAAGCCGGCCTTGAAATTCTCGCATCGATTTTATATTACTATACGCTGACTCTCCATAGATGGAAAGGCAAACTTACTATGTGTGGCGAAAAAGGAGTTCCGCATTGAATTTTCAACGACACCATATTGACGTAGCCAGACAGAGGGACAGACTGAGCTTTTCAGTTCTACAAAATGAGCAGACAAGTTCTCTTGGGGAGCTTGAACAGGGACTCAGTAATTCGCATGTAAAATCCAGAACTGGAGTCCATCCCTGCAACTTGGAGTTCATGATGGCACATTTGGTCAAAGAAGGGCAGAGACATTCAACTGAAGAGTCACGAAATCTGCTGATGGTCTGAAGCAGATCGTGCACAAGAGTCTTGAAGAGTCCAAAGAAGTACGAATCAAGAGAGAAAGGAACTTGTCAGTGGGACTACTTTGGACTTGTATGTACTTCAAAGACTTCAAGATTGCAGATGACGCTTTTGCACACATGAACAAGCAATGCTTGAGTTAGAGCAGCAAGAAATGAACGCCCAGAAGTAAATGTTCGCGTGGAGCCATTCACGTGGCCGCTGGTGCCATGCCATTCCGCAGCCGGAGGCACCTTGCCAAGAAAGTTTTGGAAGATCTGGCCTTGAGGCGACAATTGACATCCTCCAAATGCAATCAAACGCGGCTTTGGAGCCATACAGGGCGTAGACTTAGTGGACTTCCATATCTGGAGCATCCCCCAAACTGCTGCTGAGAGAAGCAAATAACTATGGCCCAAGACGGACCATTGCAGGCAGCAAAAGCTGCAAAAGAGGAATGTGGATGCAGAGTGAGATGGGGTGCGGTGCCGAATGGGGTGTGGTTTGACATTCCAGGGGTGCGGTGCCGAATGTGTCAGGCTAAGTTGCGTGCTGCTTTTGCTGGCCCTACGCTCCTGCTGGATTGGAGGCTCACATCGTTGTGGATTGATATGTCTTTCACCCCCCCGCATATTTTGTGCAAGTTCCAGAACCCAGTACCCAAACGAGGGCTTGTTGTTGCTTGCACTATATATATATATATGTATAGAGATTTGCAACTCGTGGCTGAAGGGAGGTGTTGCCTTTTATTTTCTGCCCGTTTGCTTCAAACAGCTTCTAGGAGATCCTGGTTTTGATCGTCGATGTAGTTCAAACATCTTGTTTTGACCCCCAGAACACATCTCCTCGCATGATTCAAAACCGCGAGACTGGTTGAGTCTGGATGGGACACCAGTCCTAAAGGCCGTACTTTTGGGATGCACCAAAACCACTCCCAAAACCCAGTTTAGGTTGTAGGCCACCGCTATTATGGTGTTGGGATATTTCGACCGTTGGTCCATCCATCGGCTCAGCCGCAGGCCGCCTGGGCGGGCGAGCCCGGTGCCGGCTGGTCAGACAGGCGATGTTGGGCGAGAGGAATTGACGGGATTTATAAATCCCGCCCAAGCTTTGTGGGACTGTTGGAAGGTACGGACTTGGTGCGCCTTGGAGGGTCTTCGTACAGGGTCGTTATTCAGGTTCAATTTTGCAGAATTTGTGAAACAACGTCCGCGGCAGGAGAGTGAACACCATTTAAAACTTTTCAATTCGTCAACAACTGGGGAGCTGTGAAGGTTTGTTTCTTTGAGCGTTTTGGCGTTCGGACCATCGGTGTTTGGAACTGAGCGCCCTCCGGGTCGATGGGTCGAGGCCGATGCCGGTGATGCGCCCAGACCTCAGCCTCCACGGAGTTCCGACCGGATGGGACCAGACTCGACCGGGTTTCGTTTCACATTGTGACTCACCGCCTTTTTCGCATCCATCTCGTCCATCGTCCAGGTCCATTGTTGACATCGACGGAACCTCTGTTGTCCACACAGGATGTGTTCTTCTGTTGTCCACGGAGCCTTTTTTGGGGGGTGTCTTGCGCATGCCTCGCGCATGCTTCGTGCGCCCTGAGAGCGCGGGCTGAGCAGGTCTTGGGAGCCGCCGGAGAAGATCTACTCCAATGCGATCCGCTCCTTGTGCCTGGGTGGTGGAAGATGCGGAATATCTGAATATCTGGATTCTGGATGTACGGAATGAATGCTCAAGGAGGACACTGGGGTAAGTTGTTCTATCATGTTCCAGAAGAAAGATCCTTTCGGGATTGCAACTCAGAAAGAATCCAGTCGGGATGGAAGCGGCTGTGAAGATATCCACGTATACAATTAGGAGTAGTGCTTCTAACTGAGCCCTCTCCCTGCAAAAGTTGGAGTGCCTGGTGCTTTTCTACTTTCTCTTCGGTTCATTGAAATCCGAAACGTCGACCCTTCGAAGCAAACGAGTCGACCCTTTTGGCCCAGCGCAGCAAACGACCGCCCCCAGGCCCGGCAGCGCCACGGCCTATCGGAAGGTCTTGCCTTTGGGCAAGGTGGGCGATGCGTCCCCAGACCGACGCTTCGTTGGACATCCCGTTGAGGAACAACCATTTTTAGAGGACAGACACATGCCGGCTCCCTTCTTGAGAATGTGTAGACTGTGGATTTGGCTTGTCTCACAATCATGGCACACCCAAGTAGAATGCGAACATAGAATTTGTGCCATTATGCCAGTCAGTGTGTTGGAGTATGGGACCAACAACAATAAGGGCGTTTGGAATCTCAACAAGTACAAGCCACAGCTTGCAGGCGGTGATGCGGCGGAAGGCGAAGCTTGCCACGTTCTCAGTTCTCAGATATTGCTTTTCATGTTTTTTCCTTGGTCCAGAGTGGTTTTGTTTGGTCCTCTGAGATTTCTACAAACGGGATGGGAGGAAATCAAAGGAGATCACGTGCCAGAGAGGAAGCACAGGAATATAAAGTTTTAGTGATAGACATGATTTTGACATGTTTGTTTACCCTTGGGACTCTTCGCTTTGTATGCCATAGGGGCTGTTCCGCCAGTCCATGCGGTCCCAGCAGTGCGCCCAAGAACGAGGTGAAGCCTGAACGGATCTCCAAAGAGAAATCCCAGAATGTTGCCGAGGAGTTGGTGGACAGCTTAGCTAAACCTGGGCTGTTCTTTCAGAGGAGCCAAATGACACTTAAAAAGAAGACACCCATTTGGAACAGTGTTCGACAGAAATGGAATGACACAGAAACCACATGCCTCATCATGACCCCCCAAAAATTTCCATGCTGCACTAACGACCTGGTCTCAAAGAAAGCACACGGTGTTGAGGTCTCGGTGATGCGAGGGCCCAAGTTGCCAGGCGGGATCACGGGGAAGGGCCGGGCGGTGTGACAACCAGACCCTCTTGTAGAAAGGAGATGGTGTGCAGATGGTGCGCCCCAAACCCACGAAGCAATGTGGGTCACCAGGGTGATTTCGGGAGTTCTACAAGCTGGTGTCACCACAAGCTTGGACGATTCAGACGGGCAGAGCAAACCTTGCCTGCTCAGTTGGATCTGATGGAGCTGGCCACAGCTGTACACAGCTCTATGGCGAGCTTCAGACGAGAAAGATGCTATTTTCAAAGAGAACATGGGACGTTCAATCTGATCTTCCCAAAACACAGGAATTCGCCGTTCGAGAATGCGGGAGGCCGGGACTTCAAGGGCGGCTTCTTGACGGCGCCGCATTTGGGGACACCCAGCCGGCTGGTCGTCTTCGAGGAGTGTGCCCGGTGAAGCCGTGACGAAGTGAGAGGGTCGAAGTCTTCGATGTGAATGTGGATTAAGAAGAGGGAGAGCTCCCGAAGACCCCCTGGATGGAAGAACGGGAATATATATATATATATATATTGTGATTGCACGCATGGCAGGCATGAGTTCGTCGTTCCATGAGGGACTTTTCGGCGCGAGGTGAAAAAGCCCGATCGTTCCCTTCAGGCGAAGGGTAGTTGCTCCGCAATTGGTAGCGGAGCCTGCTCAAAGAGCAGGCTCCCGCCATGGCTAGTTGAACCTGACCTTCAGGCGAAGGTCCTACGCATGGCAGCGATGACGTCTTCCACCTCGACTGAAGGTGGGCTCCGTTTCTTCTCGGGGGATTCCGAGGATGGCCGTGAGTATAAACGCTGGAAGCAATGGGTGAAGAATCGCCAGGGCATCCGAGCTGATGGACAAATGTCACCGCAAAACTGGAGTCTCATTTCCGGATGAGGCCAGGGGATGGCTGCTACTCCATCGAGCTGCTTTGTCAGAAGAGCAAAAGGCGGTGGTGATCGCCAGAGCTCGAGGTGACTTGAAGCGAGAATCCATCGCCTCCGCACTTCGATCCTGCTACCCAGAGCTGGTCATGACTCGCAAGCGTGCTGGAGTGGCAATTGCCGAGGAACAAGATGGTGGCGATGACACTGCTGAGATATGGGATGATGGTTTTTCCGACGTTGAGCAGTTGTTGGAAGATCACCATGCTGGTGTCGAGGCGGGACCCGACACCGAGACCTTCCAGGAGTCCGAAGTCGCTGAGGTTCTGGCCGCCACCTGGAAAGAGAAGAGGCAAGAGTTGAACCGCCTTCAGAAAACTCGTCAGTTTCAGAAGGCACGAGATGTCAAACGAAGCTTTCGGGTGGAGATTGAGGAGATGAAGAGGAACTCCACGTGCAATCGTTGCGGCCGCAAAGGCCAGTGGGCACGAGAGTGCCGATCGAAAGAGACGACCAAAGGAGCTGGCAAGTTGAAGAATTCTGGATCTAGCGCTGCATCTGGTGCAGCGGTGGTGCAGGAACTGGATTTTGTGGCTTCAGTGATGGCGACGCCTACGTTGCTGGAGCGAGTTCGCAAGCATGTGAATGAGAAGAGTCCTGATGTCCCAGCCACCACAGAGGAGATCCTGCTTGTGTCGTCCCCAGGCTATGGTGTCCTGGATTCCGGCTGTGGTCGGACCATTGTTGGACAGACCACCCTCCGTGCCTTTGAGAAGATTTGGAAACAGAAGGGATGGGCAATCCCGAAGCCCATCGATGAAGTGCATCAATTCAAGTTCGGAAATGGTGAAGTGGAGACATCCATGGTCTCCATTCAGATGCCTGTCGTCTTGGCTCATCGCCGAGGCGTGATTCGTGCTGCAGTGATCAAGGGTGATGCTCCATTGTTGTTGAGCCGCGCAGCACTCAAAACATTGGGTGCGACTCTGGACTTTGCACATGACAGCCTCCAGGTGTTTGGAAAGACAATTCCCCTCCAAACCAACAGTGCTGGACAGTATGTAGTGCAATTGACTGGGGAGGATTCCGTGTGTTCGCCCGCAGCCGCTTTTACAGAAGTGATGGCATCTGTGGAGGCCTATCCAGGTCCCACGGCATCTCATGAGCATGTTGATGAGCCGCAGCTTGAGCCGGAAATGCCTGCGGCAAACGCCCCCGAGTTGATCTCGCCGTCAGCACCTGACACGGCGATTTGGGAGCAGGAGGACTGTGATGTCGTCACCGCCCCATGGTTGTCTCGCCAAGGGCCAGCATGGAAGCATGTGTTTCGTAGGCGAGTAACCGACATCCAGACCTCAAAGGTCATCGATGATACCCGGATAGATCCAGGGACCCCTCAACACAAGACTATGGTAAAGTTCTTTGAACGCATGCCGCATGTGAAAACCGAGTTTTTCTTTGTAGGAAAACCATTGGAGGGTGTCATGACTGAAGAGTGGCAACCATCTCATCACCAATGCCGACAATTGCATCGGCAGGCTCAGGCATGCCTCGCAGTTCAAGAGGGTAGGAAAACCAAGCGTTGTTTGGCGATGGAGGTGTTTTCATCCCCTCGGTTCACGACAGCCGCCGAAGCAGCAGGTTTTCGTGCCAAGTCATATGACCTAGTAAATGGGTTTGATTTCCGCCTCAGCCGTCACAGGAGCACCGTTGAACAAGAGCTCATGACAGAGAAGCCACGTCTTCTGGTGTTGTGCCCGCCGTGCACTGACGAAGGCGGGTGGATGCACCTGAATAGCACGAAATGGACCCGTCTAGAGTACCTCCAACGAATGGCACAGAGTCGTAGTTATATTAGATGGTGCTGTAAGCTATTCAGACTACAGGTATCTCTCGGAGGTCGAGCAATGTTTGAACATCCGACGGGGTCTAGGTTGTGGACATATCCTGAAGTTCAAGCCCTGTGCCGTCGATTCACGACAGTCAAATTGCACATGTGCAGGTATGGGCTTCGTTTGCCTGAGAGTCATAAATTCATCCGCAAGAGCACCCGGTTGCTAGTGACTCATGAAGACATGTCGACCCTAGGTTTGTTATGCCCTGGAAACGGTGATCATGCTTCACATGACGTAGTGGCAGGCAGTGCCCCAGGGGTTTCAATTAAGTGTCAGTGAATACGCTGGACGATACCCACACCAGTTTGTGCAAGCAGTGCTTCAAACCGTAGAGGCCTTTCGCATGAGCAGTCACGACCCGAGTCCCATGCAACCATCGGCGGAACCTGCGGTGTGCATTCTCGAAGATGCGATTCCTGAAGAGAGTTGGTCAGAGGTCTTGGCTGTCAATGCCCTGAGTCAACGAACGGATGCAGAGCTCATACCGGTTTTGACCAAACTGCACAGGAACCTGGGCCACCCACCAAATTGTGACTTGGTCCGGATTTTGCGTCACGGAAATGCCAGCGAACAAGCTCTCAAGTTAGCCCGTGAGCTGTCCTGTGATTTTTGTAAAAGCCAAGCCAAACCAAAGAGTCCTCTTCCTGCACAGCCGAATAGGGTAACTGAGTTTAACCACCAAATAGCCATCGATGTGAAACATCTTCGGGGTTGGCAGCCAAACCAAAAGATCAAAGCTCTGAACATTGTAGATACAGCCAGCAGCTTTCAGCGCATGATTCCGTTCTTCCAGACGGAAACCGCAAGTCTATTGCGTGAACAGCTCAATGAACACTGGATTGCCTGGGCCGGAATTCCAAGGGAGATCATCATGGACCCTGCCAGGACAAATCTGGGTGACCCCATGACTGTTCCCGCCGAACTTGACGGGACACATGTGCGACCTATCGCAGCCGGTGCGCATTGGCAGTTAGGGAAATGCGAATCTCATGGTGGCTGGTTCAACCGTGTTTTGGAAAAGTTGATCGATGACTACTCCCCCCGAAATAGAGAAGAATGGCTAGAATGTGTTTCTCACGCCCATATCAAGAACCAGATGATTCAGGTCCATGGATACACTCCTTATCAGTTTGTGTTTGGCCGCAATCCACATGTTCCTCAGGATTTACTCAGTGAACCATTGTCCATTGCGCCAGCGACCGCCTCATTGACCGATGAGGCAATCAGTCGGACACAAGCCATGAGGACATCCGCTCGAATGGCACTGGTTCAAATGCAGGACGACCGAGCAATGCGAGTCGCACTCCTGGCTCGACCTCGGAAACCAGTTTCCTTTCAACCAGGGGATATGGTGGCCTACTGGCAAAACCAAAAGTGGGTTCAAGGTCAGTTGCAGCAAGGAGGTCAGTGGTATGGGGTAGCCATTGTGTTAGGACATGTTGGCAGAAATCTCGTGTTGATCCATCGTAGGCAGGTGATTCGATGTGCACCTGAGCAAGTCTGACCCGCGACAAATGAAGAGAAGTGCCTGATATCGTCTCCTGATGCTGAACTGCTAGGGATTAAGGACTTGATAGATAAAGGTAATCTGCACAGTCGTCAGTACCTAGACCTACTCCCACAGTCATATCCACCACAAGAGGGGGACGCAGACTCAAGGGAACATCCTGCGGAAACTGATCCAATGTCCGAAGCCAGTCGACTCCGTCCGCCAAGTGACGAACCTAGAATGGTCGAACAACGACCTGGTGATGGGCCTACGCCAGCCGTGACATCGTCGGCCACGGAACCAGAAGAACCAGCGGCTCAAGAAACAGATCAATCTAGTCATCCAGAAGGAAGTCCCAGTGAGCGAGGAGATGTCAGTTCATCACCCTATCCATCGGGACCCCCAAGAGAATCCGAAAGCTCTGGTTCGTACGGACCGGTCCGCCGTCGAGTGTCCGGGAAAGATGGTCCGATGTCGCTGTGGAGACCTCCAGCCCTCAAGCAAGAAGACTTCATAGAAATCGTGAAAGAGGTAGTTCCCCAGCTAGTCGAAGATGCATGTGCCGACCGACCCAAGAGACCTTTTTATCACCCTCTAGTAATCCCGAAGGTGAAGAACCAGCCGCAAGTCGCCCGAGAACAGAAGAAACACTGAGTGTTCAGGATGTCTCCGATCTCGTGTCACTTGCCGACTCGGAGTCCTGGGAATGCTTGATGGCCGAATACCTTAAGAAGAAGATGTCAAAAGAATTGCCTCATAGCAACAATCCCCCAGAACTTCAACAGAAGGTCCAACAAGGGAAACGAGCGGAATGGGAAACGATCACTTCAAAACCACATGCTGTTCGAATGCACTACGGTAAGAAAGCAAAACAAATTCGTGAACAGTATGGCAATCGATTCATCGGCAGTAGGTTTGTTTTGACCCGCAAGCCAATAGAGGAAGGCATGGAGATAGATCCCAATGACTTCAATACCTTCACGGTGAAGGGCCGGTGGTGTCTGCAAGGCCACCTCGACCCCGATCTCGAGGTAAAGGCCGAACAAGGCCTTTTGAAGTCGCCCACACTCAGTCAACTTGGTCGAATGTGCCTCCTCCAAGTGATCGCATCGCAAAAGTGGGTGTTGCAATTAGGAGATATAAAAGGAGCGTTCCTCGAGGCAGGTCCGCTAAACCCTGAATTTCGTCCACTGTTTGCACATCAACCCGCAGGTGGCATTCCGGGAATCCCTCCTGACGCTGTGATAGAGATTGTTGGAAACCTGTACGGACAGAATGACGCTCCGTCGGCCTGGTTTCGTGAGTTCAGCGGGTTTGTCAAGTCTCTAGGTTGGCACCAAAGCGTTCTGGACCCGTGCCTGTTCACACTTCGAGATCCAAAAGATCACACACTAGTTGGTGTGATGGGTGTGCACGTTGACGACACGGCCGTTGGAGGCGCTGGAGACCACTTTGAAATGTCCATCAAACAACTCCGCGCCCGCTTTCCGTATCGGAAATGGCGAATGCAAGGTGGAGAGTTCTGTGGTGCATGGTATGATCAACAGAAAGACAAATCGATCATCATGTCAATGAAGTCATTTGCTGAAAAGATTCGACCAGTGAATGTGCCCAAGGACACTTCTCCGTCCGAGCTTTTGTCGCCTGGTCAAATCAAGGTCCTACGAGCTGTAAATGGAAGCCTTAACTGGCTACCCTCTCAAGCCAGACCTGATTTAAGTGTGCAAACAAGTCTGTCCCAGCAGTCCTTTCCTCGACCAACCATAGAGGATTTCAGGATTGCAAATCAGGCCGTCAGACGTGCCCGTCAGCACAGGGAAGTTGGGGTGACGTTCAATCCAATTCCACTGAACGATCTAACCATAGTGTGTCACAGTGATGCAGCTTTTGCAAATAGAGGAAACCACACACAGGGTGGTTACATCATCGGTTTCACCGATAAGAAGTTGCACCTAGGACATGAAGCCCCATGGACCCCCGCCGCATGGCGAAGCTACCGCTTACAGAGGGCGGTGAGCAGCACGCTGGCCGCAGAAAGCCAAGCTATGTCAGTCGCTTCAGGAACTGCAGAGTGGATCTTGTTGCTTTTGGCTGAGACCATAGACGGCCCCCTGCAGATTCGCAGCTGCAGGAATGTGCTCAAAAGGCGACAGCCGATCATCGTCATCGACTGCAAGAGCTTGTACGATCATTTACACTCCCCGTCCTCACCAACATCCATAGAGGACAGACGAACCAGCATTGATGTAGTGATCATCAGGGAGAGCTGTAAGAACATGGAAGCCCTAGTTCGGTGGGTACCCACAAATAGGATGTTAGCAGATGGACTCACCAAGGACGCCGGTGATCCCATCGATCTCCTCCGTGCTTGTATTCGTAGGGCATCATATCAGATATCCCCGGAAGAAACGGTGTTAAAAATGCAAGCTGCCGAAAAACAGATTCGACGGCAAATCCAAGAGCAACGCTTGAAGGATTCGAAAGGTTCCGGTGGGGATCCAACACCTGAGGGGGTCTCAGGTGATTCACAAGTGGCAAACTTGAGTAAAAGTGAGGGTTCATTGTTTGGGAACAATGTAGCTAGGGTCGATACTCAGGTCTATGCAAGTTTTGCTTGTGAGTTTGTGTATGCGCGTCGCAGCCTTTTTCTCGACCGATCGCATTGAAGGCGATCGCATTTTGGAACGATCCATCGAAGTGCCTGCTTCTCAGCGGTTTCCTCCCAGCCTCACCATGGCTGGTACCAGTCAGCGTTTGTCCTCAGCAGTTGATGAGTTGCTGCAGAGGGTCCGAGATGAAGGATCCATGGACTCCCTCCTGAAGGAGCTGGGGTATGAGTTGGGTGAGTTCGAGCTTGTTCGTGAATCCGAAGGTCAAGGAAGTATGACGGATGCTTCCAAGAGGCGCATGGTTGATGAAGCCTCACCACCACCACAGATGCCTATGGTTCGAGCAGCCAAAGCTCGTGCCACGTCAACATTACCGTCCGGAGTGAGCAGCATATATGGAAGAGTGGGGCCGTACACTGGTAACGGCCGGAAAGTTCGAGAAGCACGAGATTTCGTACTCAGAGCTGGCATCATCGAGTGAGACTTCTAAGGTCAAGTACGTTCAGTGGATGATCAATCAGAGTGACCGCAGTGACCTCTCACCCGTGGTCCAGGACATGGCCAATTATTTTGTGGCCAATGCCCGCGAGAAGGAAGGACATGGCCCATGCATCCCCGGCTCGAGCGTGATCCGAAAGTTCAAAAGCTGAAAAGATGAATGCTGATGAGATGGCCGCTTGTCGTTCGTTGGAGCACCCATGATCCATTATGAGCCTTAGGTAAGGCATCCAAGCACTGGCTCCATTCGAATTTTAGAAAATATATCCAGTTGTGATTGCACGCATGGCAGGCATGAGTTCGTCGTTCCATGAGGGACTTTTCGGCGCGAGGTGAAAAAGCCCGATCGTTCCCTTCAGGCGAAGGGTAGTTGCTCCGCAATATATGTATATATAGGTTAAACATGGTTAAACATGTTAAACAAACTGAAAATTGAAGGTCTTCCCACTGTATTTAGAAACAAACACACACACAAACACACGCACACACATGTGGACAGCAGCTGAGATGTGGAAGGGGAGAGGATCGCACGCTCAGCGTGCACAATCTATTTTTCATGTGGCCAGGATATGCCAGGACTTTGCTTTCCCTTGGTTTCGGGGGCTATGTTGGTTGGCCTCAATACCCAGGACCTTAGGAACCAGGCTTCGGTTAGAGTCAGAGATCTGCAGGATCCACCAGTGGCGGTGGAGAAGCTTTCGGAGGAGGAACGGGCTCGGGATCTCAGGGCCGGCTCACAAGTAGAGAGTTTAAGTACTGTATGTTTGAGTTTAGTTCAATTTTCGTTTCGTTAGGGGATGTGTCACTTCTTTAATGCATATTGAAGTTATTGTGCATGCTGACATGGTCACCGCTGGCAGGGCATCAAGGTGACTGCCAGTGACTGCCCAACCCGGCTTTGGCATTGTACCAACTGCAAACGGCAAAAGGTTTGGGGAAGACAACCAGATGCGCTAGACTTGTCAACCCAAATGAGAGTTTAGCTAAGGTGTCGTACTCATCCCAAGCCCTTGAAGGTGCATCGTTTGCGAGCTACACTCACATCTGGTCCCTGGTACCAAGGTGTGAGCTGTTTTGGCGCTTAACCAAGTCTCCCAGTCCAAGTCGCCCGCCCGGCCTGGCCTTACTAGGAACAAGAAGCTACTAGGGGCTCCTGGCATCGCTACTAGGAGCAAGGGTTCGTTTGGGCTTCGCCCCAAGGCCTTGCAAGGACGCGAACGCGCCTTCGGCTGCAAGGCGCCGCCCGCTCGAACCGCCCGAACGCCGCCCCACGTCGCCCCGCGCGCGGAGAGGCGGTCTTCAACCCCCGCTGGCGGAGCGCCAGCAACGTGACCTCCGTCTTTTGGGAAAAGGATCCCAGCATTCCAGGTGCGATTGGGACCGTTGAGGTGTTCCGAACCCCTCCCAAGAAGTCTCGAAGGGAATTGGTTTGACATGTCCATGTTGGTGGTCGGGAGGGTAGCTGTCCATTCTTTGGTTCTTCTCGGATTGTGTGTGCTAGCATGCCATGAGCTACTTGTTGCCAAGGTTTCTATATACAATGTCAAGCAAACAGATGACCAGTTTAATAAAGAGCGGCCGTGAATTTCAGGAATTTGGCTAAAACCCGCAAAAGCGATAGGCCGCCCTCAAGAGCAAATCATGCTCTCTTCTTAACAGGACGTTTTGAGACGCTCAAATGTGATGCGTGATGCTATCCACAAATCGAAAAGGTGGGGTACACTGTTGTCAGAGACATACCCTGCGCTGGCACGGTGGAATACGTTGGATGTCCCTTTTCTTTTTCCTCCTGTTCTGATTCTTTTCGCCTGTTGATTTCCATTTGGCTGCTTTTGCTGCCGATCCAGGCTACCGCGCGCTGGTGGAGCGGCCCAATGCCGTTCGAGTGCAAGGCGAGTGGCGCCGAGTGGCGTCGCATGGCCCCGAAAGGAAACCGGAGCCGTGGCCGAGCTGACGGTCTTTTGCCAGGCTACGACCCAAAGGGTCAGGCCGTGGACTATGTGGCCAAAGGTTGGGAAGCGCGGCTGATCCAGCAGGCGTTTTCGGGGTGTTTTGCGGGGTTGGCGCACGGCTCGCCGCGCTTGGAGGGTGGTTGGACCAGTTTTTGTGATCGGGGGAATCTCTGAGCAGTGCAGCACCACCACCACCACCACCACCACCACTACTACTACTACTACGACTACTACTCCTACTACTACTACTACTACTACTAACTACTACTACTACTATTACTACTAACTACTACTACTACTACTACTACCTACTACTACTACTACTAATTACTACTACTAATTACTACTACTAATTACTACTACTAATTACTACTACTAACTCTAACTACTAGTACCAACTCTAACTACTACTACTACTACTACTACCACTACCACTACCACTACCACTACCACTACCACTACCACTACCACTACCACTACCACTACCACTACCACCACTACTACTACTACTACTCTAACTACTACTCTAACTACTACTCTAACTACTACTCTAACTACTACTCTAACTACTACTAACTACTCTAACTACTACTAACTACTCTAACTACTACTAACTACTCTAACTACTACTAACTACTCTAACAACAACAACGACGACGACGACGACTACTACTACTACTACCACCACGACGAGGACTACTACTACTACTACTACTACTACTACTACTACGACTACGACTACGACGACGACGACGACGACTACTACTACTACTACTACCACGACTACGACTCCGACTCCGACTCCTACTCCTACTGCTGCTGCTGCTGCTACTGCTACTGCTACTGCTACTTGCACTTGCACTTTTATACAATACTCCTGCTGCTGCTGGTGCTGGGACCTGACCTTGGGGCGTTGAAGAACAACCTCTGGCCATTTTCACATGGCCTTTTTGACTGCCTTCGGGTCGATTGCCTCCATGGACCGGGAACATCCATTCGTTTGTGGCGACGCGGGACAATCCGGAGACATGGGAGGCCAATGATCTTTTGAATGGCCTGACCTTTGTGGATCGCTGCGAGATGCGATCCCTATGCCACCTGGACGCACGCCAGGGCCATAGTGCGGACGTGCGATTCGGCTCGGTTTGGGGAAGGACGAACGAGCCGACAGCATGCCGGGATGAGATGGATGAGAGGAGCGTCACATCTCTCTTTGGTATGGGGTTGCAGAGGAGGGTCCTTATCACCAACCAGGAAGTGGAGAGCAAATCTTTTGATATCTTTTGATACATGTCACACATGTCCTTCAGAATCTCTTTTTGGAATTTGATAGGAAAGAGGCACGGTCAAACTCCTTTTGATATTCACCCAAGCGCCCGATCCCATGTGACAGGCTTAAGCTCTTCAATGTTTCTTCCGAGCCTTAGCGGTTGCATCGACAATGTTGCTTGATGAAACCACGATGTCTAGATGCACTGAGGATGAAACCTGAGGTTGTTTGTCATCTTCCAACCAAAGCAAGTTTGCCATCTGTGCCAAGTCGCCCAACCCAAAAATGGCAGCCGGCTGAACTCGACTGGAGGCAACGATCCTTTGCCGTCTGACTGCCCGGTGCTGGGCGCTTTCCTCTCCAGGCGTAACGTTGTGGCTTCCGTTTGACCTTGCTTTTCGTGAGGTGCTTGTGAAGATAGTGAAGCTTTCTCCTTCGCTCGGATCCGCTTTCTTTCAGATGGAACTAACTCAGGTGGAAACTTGACCCCAAGTTCTGTGGAAGGATTGGAGATCAATTCCAAAATCCCTCCGAGGTCACGTTCGAATCACCGCCCAATGCCACACCCGAACGCAACCACGTGCGCGTTCGGATCTTGGCCAACGTGGTGCTCCAAGAAGAACTTTGCCAGGCCTTCCAGGCCACCGTTGAGCGAGGAGGATACGAAAGCAGCTGAAACCGGTGGCAGCAAGGGGATGCTGGTGCGGCTGGCTGGAGTTGCCATTTGGGAGCCAATTTGGAGAATCTCAACACTTCTTATGGGGGCCGCTACCCTCATCCTCTCCCTCTCTATTTCGATTCTTTTCCATTCCTTGGCTTTGGCGGCTGAGACGCCAGGGATTCCTGCCGAGCTTCGGTTCCCCCAGCGTGCTGCTCATTGGGAGTTTGCTCCTGCGCCACTTGGCCGGCTGGGGAGGTGACGGCGTGGTGAATCAAGAAGACCCTAGTAGCGTCCTTGCTCCTAGTAGCGATGCCAGGAGCCCCTAGTAGCGTCCTTGCTCCGGTTTACTGAATTTAATATACTGAATCACTATCACCTCACAGTTGGTCGACGGTCTGAGAATCGTGCCAGATACAACATGCGTTGAAACAAGCAGGTGAGGACATCCTCCAACACATGGTGTTTGTCGTCCGGGTATTGGAGGGTGCACGCTTTTTTCCACAACCTAGCAGTAGACCTGCGAGCTTGGCTTGAAACACGAGACATGTTTTGCCATGAAAGTGTAAGGGCCGTGATTTTGTTATGAAATTGTACCGAAATCCGTTGATATCCGTTGATCCATTCCAGAGCTTTTGCTCCTTTTCCCAGCCATGATGACCAAACAATCCAAACAGCGGTCGGATGCGCATCAGGACGATTTGGATTCTTGCGAAACCCTGGAAGGACCTTTTGGAAGCGCATTGCAAGGACTCGATATGACATGCTATGACTAGAAGGTCTCTATAGATCCCAGCATTGGCTCAAGGGAAGATCTACGATGGGTTTCCTGTCGATTTTCCCTTATGTAAACCAGTTCGAATAGACGCAGCCAGTGACCCTTCGAGGTCTACCAGCCCGGGAGGTCGAAGACTTCTCCGCCGGTGAGGCGCAACTCGCAGCGCGATGGGCCCAAAGAGGTCCACGTTTCGGGCGTCGTGTTTTGGAGTAGCTTCTTGCTCCTAGTAGTATGGCCAGGAGCCCCTACAGTAGTAGCGTCCTTGCTCCTAGTAGTATCCCTACAGTAGTAGCGTCCTTGCTCCTAGTAGCGATGCCAGGAGCCCCTAGTAGCTTCTTGCTCCTAGCAAGAAGTTACTAGTAGCGATGCACTTGTTACTAGTAGCTTCTTGCTACTAGTAGTAATGGCCTCCAACCTAATAGCGATGGCCTCCACCTAGTAGCTTCTAGCTACTCATAGCGATGCACTTGTTACTAGTAGTGATGGAGTTGGTTCCATCGGCTGGGGTTTGGTCAGGGGCGTCCTGTTTGGTTGGCCAAGATGTAGGATTTGGCTCATCTCGGCTCCAGAAAGGTTGGCAGTCGGTGGTTTGTGCAACCTCTGGAAGACAAGGGTATGTCCATCGGGGATCAAGACATGCATCGCCCTAAATAGCCATTGAAAGAGATAGCCACCAACTCGCCAGTCATAAAACAAAAACACAACGTGAAAAACACCAGAATTAGGGGCTCCTGGCATCGCTACTAGTAACAAGGGCCTTACTACTAGGAACAAGAAGCTAGTAGAAACAAAGAATTATATTAGAATCCAATTGAAGAACACATAGAAAACACAGAAAGAACACACGCTCGGGAAAGTGACCGTAAGGTCTAAAACCAAAGAATCTCACAGTTTTTCTAAGGTCTCGAGACTGAAAAACGAAAACATCTGATGTCACGACATCGAAGAGCCCATCTGAAGAACCGATCCAAGACGGCCCATGACTTGTTCTAACTACAAACGGTGGCCCAGGAGGAAGTGAACAGTCAAAACCTTGCAGGTACAGGACCTTCTGGCTGAATCAAAGCTTCGTTGGCATGGCTAGGGAAGCAGCTGCCGTGCCCCCTGCATACTTGTACCAAAAGGTAACCTACTGTATGATTCCAGTGTACACTCTGACATTGGTTTGCAGTTAACTCAGTTCCCAAGTCGAAGAAAGGTGGTGGAACAGAAAGGCGAAGAGTCCAAGCATTTGTAGGTGTTTGAACAAAGTGGTTTTTCTCGTGACTGCAGAACTCAGCGGTGGCGAACAAGCGAATGGCGTGGCACAGCTGCAGAAACCGAGGTTTTGTGGTAGCATGAAGAACCATGGAATCAAACAAAGCAAATTAGACAGCGTGGTCAAAAGTTCAGTTCAGCAGGTAGACAGGGATGATCAGTCCCTGCATCCTGGTCATCTGCATAGAGCTTCGTTGGCGACAGCTATGCAGTGACCCTGTCGCCCACTGCTTGAATGTGAAAGAAGGAAAAGGAACTCTTAGTTACAGAGGTTGACACACACACACACACACATGCGCATTTTTTCGGGTTCCAACATTCCGCGCCGAGAGGTGCAGGAAGCAGCCAAAGAGCTTCGAGATGTATGGGGCCCCGTTCGGACAGTCTGCCCGTCGTCCGAGGCTTCTCCGGTCGCTGCCCGCCGTTTGGGACCGACCAAACACACTGGAAGCAAGCAGAGAAGCCGAACAAGTTCCCAGCAGGAGGGTACTTTTTTGCCAAAACCAGGCCCGTGGATTTAGTCCCTATATTCCTGTGAAGTGCTGAGACCGGATGATCGACTTTCGCCCCCGAGGCTCTGGCGAGTGGGGAGCATCCCTTGGGCGTGGCTGCACCACAGCCCGGGACGTCCAGCGCGCGCGACAGGAGGGAATGTCCTGGCACCCCAAAGCCAGGCCAAGTTACGGAGCAATACTACTGGTTTGATGAAGTTTGGTTCGTTTCTTGCTTTGCATTCCAGGGGTTTCTGATGTTCTCTGCAGCTCTGGTCACTTCGGCCGAAGTTTGAGACACCCCCCAAAAGCTTCATTGAATCCTTTGTGAGTCATCCTTTTGCCAAGTACAACAGCCAACACCAGACTTGCCAGACTTCCCTTGCATCTTTGTGGTCGAACCTAAAAGACCACTTTGATAGCCAAAAAGAGATAAAACGAGTCCCTGTTGCTGGATGGGGGAGGGCAAAGATTCAGGTGTACCTTAAGGCATCCTTCATTTTGTCTTGCGACATCATGACTCAGTGATCCGTGAACCACTGGAGTGTGCAAAAGGTGAAGGCAGAATTAAGTTCACTTCCCAAGAGAATGATGAGCTCAGATGGGCAATGGCAATGCCCAAATCCTTTGACCACCGTGAACTCCCTTGGATATTTTCTGGAACTTGCTGTCGACTTGGGAGATCGACCCCCCGTTCCCGCCTGGACGCTCCCAGGTTCGGCAAAGGCATTCGAATGGTTTGCCCGGCTTGTTGCTGAGATGGACTGCTCGGAGCAAGGGCCCATAGCAACGCCAGGTTCTCCAATGGTGCCAAGTGAAAGGTGTCGATCTCCTTCTTAAATCGTTCATCCCTCTCTGATCCAACAACTTCAAGTCGCTCGCCTCCAAGTCAGTGGTCATCCCCCTCAAACCTCTGCAAAATACCCCCAACAGCGCAGAAGAACCAGCTCTGCCCTCTCAAAGCACTCCATCCATCGGCGTTCCTGACTTCATTAAGTAGGCACCTACGGTGTTTCAGGTGGAGACTTGTGATGAGGTGCGTTCTAGCTTCTCCCACGGGCTTTAAACACATGCACACTCCCGGCGGTTCACTTGGGCCCGCCGGGGAGGTGGCCATCGGTGAGACGGAGGACAACATCGAGAAGCTCACCACCCGAGCGCAGATCTCCGAGGCAGCGCCCGGTCGGACGGAAGGTGGACCGGTGGACCCCCAAACCATCTGGGCGAAGCCGACGCGATTAGTCCCGAAGCTTGCGATCGGGTCATTCCACTGCGGTGAGAAACAAAAAGAGAAACGCTGGGACGGCGCAGGAGCACCGGGTCTTCAAGCCCACGATTCTCATCAACCCGGTGGTGACTGCGAAACCAGGTGGGCCAGCATGGGCTGTGTTGGCGACTGGTTCGATCAGGTGCTAAGGCTTAGTGCCGGTTTTGCTTAGCCGAGATGACTTGGATTTTCTTGGTTAGGAATGGCAGGGACCTCTTCCGTCCTGGTGTTGAGGCACCTCCCAGGCCTTCTTTTTCGAGCGGCTCGGGACCCTGGTGTCTTCACCCTGGAGCCCCAAGAGCCAACCGGCAGTCACAATGGAGAGTAAACTCCGACTCCCATATTGAACTTAAAAACAGTCTGTTTGGGGACCAGTATGTACAAAAGATGGTCTGAACTGCTTCAAGGCACAGGGAAGAATCATCCATCAGCAGTGGAGTCTTGGACTCTGCAGAGTCAGAAGAAGTCTACATGTCATGAGTTGGTCTTCGTCTAAAATGTCTAAAACCATCGTCTTTTTGTGCAGGGGTCAGTATACACGAATTTGTCTGCAGCTCTTGGCTGATGTGACAGCACTAACTGTAAGTCTGACAAGTACAGAGATGTTGCAATTGAGCCTCACCCACGGATTGAAAGACTTGATGAGACGCACTGCTCCAGGCTTGTGACCCAGCTCTTGGTACTCAGCTCCTCTTCACATTACAAAAACCTCCGTTCATTTGTACGATTGCAGGGGGACTAGCTAGGATACTTCGCTGCCCAAGGCACCATGTATTAAAACCACATCAAGTAAGTTGCTTTCACACCCTACCCTGCATGGGTCGCGCTGTACTCGCAGTGGCTGCGGCCGTCTTGTCCCTGCGACACGCCTTTGTGTCACCACAGCCAGGCAGCTTGACATGTGACCACTCTTCAGCCCTGGACTCGCAGGGCCGAAGTCATTTCGCCAAGACTTGGGCTAGGTTTTTGAGATTCTGTTCAGGAACTTTCAAGCACAGAAGTGGTGTGGATGCAGTTGCACACCCTCTCAGTTAGCTGGTAGGCGCGGTACGACGCCCGCAGATGGCTCGCCGCTTTTTCGGTGGGGCAGCGCCTGCTGCTACTGTGCCCGGGCTGCAAGGAGCTTCCTCCCGCTAGACCCCGGCTTAGACCCCCAAACAAAACCAACACACCGCCCTTCGACGAACGGCGCTGAGCACTTCACCACCGCACCCGGACTCCGTCGAGCACCGTGCTCCGAGGCCGTGGTGGATAAGGCGCCCAGCTGGGACGAGCTGAAGTCGGCGTTGGAAGCTGAAGCCTCGCCCGAGTTGAAGGCGTGGAGCGGTTTCTGCGCGGGAGACGCGGATGGAGGATGTGGATTTGGATGGGGTGGTGGTTGGGTGCTTGGAGGTGGATTTGTGGCTTCGATTGGCCCACTGGATTGAAGGACGATGCAGTCCGTTTTTCAAGAATCGAAAACAAGATCATGGAGGGGCATCCACCTCATGAGGTCCTGGTCAGTGAAGCAGAGCTGTTTCTTTTTCAACCCTGGGATTCACGGATTTGGGATTGAAGCGGCTCAAAAGTTCCAAACACGTGAGCTTAAGAACACCGCGAGATCTCGGCCTGACTTGCTGGGCAGCGGTTGATCTCACTCAGAGATCCCACGCAATGGGGTGTCACTCACCATTGAATCATATTTGATGATCTTGTAGCTGGATGAGGGCAGATGAGCCCGCAGCTTCCACCGGGTTGATCAAGCTTCCTGCAAAGAGTCAAGGATTCATAAACTCTTGATCAACCAATCACTGCCCTGCACAAACCCTAGGCTGATGAATGGACTGGTGACTAGTGGAATTCCGTCCACCACTCCCTTTTCACACGACCGAGTATCCCACCAAAAGCAGAAACAACCGGACGGGCCAAGCCGCAGGAGGCCGCTACGGTGGGGCAGAGTAGTGGGGGGTGAGCTGATGGGGGCCGAGCGCCTCCATCGCAGGACTTCCGCACGAACTTGGCGGAGGGCCATGTGGCCAATGCCATGGCCAAGCTTCGGGTCTTCGGCCAGGAGCGTTGATTCGGGGGACAGAGGAATGAAGGATCCAAGAAAGCTACACTAGTGTTTCTTTCATGTTCTTGCCCCCACCTTGACCATTTTGAACATGCCGTGACCACAAGGAAAAGCAGTTCTGGGATGCTTTGAACAACAAGGAAGGACCTTCTTCTTCTTCTTTTTCTTCTTCTTCACTATATAAGGGGGACTGAGTGAGAATGACACTTTCCATTTTTTCTGTTTATTCTTTTTTCAGTTGGTACCAATTTGAATCCATTCCCAGCCCTTGACCTCCACACCGAGCTTTTGCAACCCACGTTGCGAATGTCAAAGAACCGTTGTTTGTGCCCAGGGGGCAGAGGCCACCAAGCGGGTGACGCTATACAGGGACTCGGCCTCCTGGTGTCCATACTGTCACAAGGCGGGAGCTCCGCTGTTCACGAGTTTCCAAGCATCATTTTTAAATTGTTGATTCTTTGGGATGGTCATATTCTATAGGTTTAGTGAAACATCCACCGAACTCCAATTAAGGTGCTTGGAACATCTTGGAACATATGGTCCTTCTTTTTCTTGAGCATCCAATCCTTTTTCCTTCGTTGAGGATGATGGTAGCTATACTGTCATACATTGGATCGTAAATGAAGATCCAGCTGACGTCAGCAACAGCATGGGACTCGTGGGCCATTCACAGATCGTGTGTGGGCTTGGATGAGTGCAAGAAGCTGGCTGGAGGTTTGGATGCTTTTAGAGGAGAAGCAGATTCCTTACAACGTCAAGAAGGCCAATGGGCACCCAAGGTTCGGTAGGAGGGCAGCAGATGACGTTATTTTGCCATCGGCCAAGTGATCCTATCGTGAGATTTGGCTATTTTCTGCATGCTGGTAGGCTTCCAGGCAGATCAATTTCATGGATTTCCTCAAAACAGCAAAGAACGAAATGAGGCAGCGGGAAAAACGGGGTTCCGCTTCTGCGCCCGGCTTCAGAAGCACCTGTGCACGTCGTTGTCTATGATTTTAACTTATTCCTTCTCCAAAGATCCAATAGTGCGTTGGACATGGTGACCACCAATCCACTGAAGATGAAATAGTGCTGCCCGTTGTGCCCCTGAACAGCTGGAGCTCTATGGTGCAAAACAGCCTAGCCGACCAAGGTAAGAAGAGGAGCATTTTGGAAAAGCAATTCCAAAGCAAAACACACCATCGAACACGAAACCAGCGTTTTCTGTTGCCCTTCTGTTTGTTTTGCTTTTGTCTATTCTTTCATTTTGCATTTGTCTTGCTTGTTGTTGCATTTCACTTGCGTTTTGCATTTGAACATTTTGCCGTGTTGCCTCGCTTTGCACGTTTGCACGCTTGTGTCGATTTCTTTTTTGTAATGTTGCAAATTTATGGCATCAGTTTGCATTGTTCCTGTCTTTTCGGAGGAGGCTTTGGGCGGACGGACTTTTGATCGCAAGATGCCGGCAGCTTCCAGGTGAGCATGTCTTGCTATGGCGACAAGCCGGCAGACTTCATCGCCATGCAGCCCAATGGGCAGATTCCGGTGGCCGTGATCGATGGAACGGTCTTGAGGCAGAGGGTCCCGCAAGCCGGAGGGTCTGGGAGGGCTGTGGAGGGTCCGGCGTTCCGTCCTGAAGAGTTCAACGAGTTCCACAAAATTCAACGAAGGTTTCAACGACTTTGAAGGAACTTGCTTTTTGGATTAGAAACTGGTTTTTCCATGGCAGTTTTTGACAGTCCGGATGATCTAGTGTTGCCTGAGCAGTACCATCGGCCGTCCAGGTTTATTCAGCCCATTGGACGGTGTGGGACTGCTGGAAATGCCAAACAAAACAGTTGGTTGCGGTTGCGGGTGTGCTTCCGTGATTCTCGGGTGGTAAGAAGGTTGGTCTCGTTCACTCCTGATCAGCCTCGCCGGGTCTGCTAGCAGCTAGCAGCAGGTCTTCTGATGCCATCATTGAGCGCCACTGAGCTTAGCAGGTAGCAGGGAGGAGTTCAAGCACTGGGACGACATGAGAAGGTCGCTATTCCAGGCTATGATCAAGTGATGAACACCAAATATATTTATAAATATACACCTAAATACCCTAGAAGTCCAAAGACTATATTTGACCGACTGAAGAAGAGGAAATTCCTTTTCGGGTCACCTAAATACAATTCTTTATAGACTTTGACTCCCAGGGAATCTCTACATCTAGTATATGATACTGGTACAATTATGACATATTGCGTTTCAGATGCGTGGCCTCCGGCGCATTTTACAGCACAGTTGCACTTTCGTAGATCGTCGAAACAAATAAAACTCTATTCGATGAAGCAAGCTCAATTGCATTCCTATCTCGCGATGACCATAGAAAGATGATTCCATTCAGTGAGTTTCATATGCAAAGACGACTTAAACTAGGTCCACCGCCCATAGAGGGCCGTAGGTCGAAATTACATTTCTGATCACCAGCGTTCAGAGTTTCAAGGATTGAATTACGTAATTACATTGGGAAACCATTGTTCAATGTACTCACCAGTAGAATGGCAGACAGCAACAGTTAAAAGAAGTTGCCCCCAACTATCGTTTTTTTGGACATGTTTGGAGGGATATGTCTTCGATAATCTGCTGGATGCCACTGCTTCTCCAAGCATGGCGAACGATGTCATACAGGTGGGAATGTTTAACAGGTATGTGAACAACCTATTGGAGAAAACAACCAGCGCGGATGTAAGAGTATCTGGTACACGCCTGCGTAGTAACATTTCTTGTTAGAAGGAGTGCCAAACTGTAAGCAACAGCAAATAGTTCTCATGCAACGCATCAAAGTTGAGAGGCCATCTATCTGATTGCAATACAATGTCCAGAGTGGCAGCCACAAAAGGATCAGGGGTGGAAGCATCACAAAAGGTCTTCAACAGGCTATCAATGTAGAACGGGTGCACCTCAAACCACCCTTTCAACAAGTGCGGAACTTCATCCACCCCTGTCCAGTGTCCCAACCACAACAAAAAATTTAAAGCAAGAGACAAAGCAGAAAGAAAGAACAACCGCACCATACTGAGACCTGGAAAACTGCGGTATACAACGCACGCGCTTAACGGAAAAGACACTGTGCCAAGAGTAACGCATTAAAAACATACATTGATGGAACATATAAGTACTGAGTACTGTACTTTTCCGGGGAAGAGACCGTGACTCACAACCTATACTGCATCGACAACGGACGTTATTATCCCAGCCCC